TTCTTATGAAATTAATGATGAATTTTCCATGTAATCCAGCAATTTCACTCCTAAATATTTACTCAAGAGAAATAAAAAAAACCACATTCACAAAGACCTATATGTGAATGTTCACAGCAGCTTTATTTATAAAATAGCCAAAACTGCTAATGGAATACAAAACTACAATGGAATACTACTAAGGATAAAAAGAAATGAGCTACTGATAAATGCAATGAGTGAATCTCAAAAGCATCATGCTAAGTGAAAGAGACCAGTCACAAAAGTCTACAGAATGCATCTTTCCATTTATATGATCTTCTACAACTGGCAAAAACTATAATGACAAGCAAAACATAAACTGGGATGCAGGGAGGGGATTGACTGCAAAGACACATGGTGGCACTTTTTGGAGTGACAGAAATATTCTATATCTTAATTGTGGTAGTGGCTATACAATGATACATATTTGTAAAAAGTTCTTGAAACGTACACTTAAAATAGGTAAATTTAAAAATCACATATCTTTCATCTTTTCATTCATCTAATATTGTGTGACTGTCTCTAATGTGTATCTTCTGTCTTTGCTCTACTAGACAATGAGCTCCATAAGCACCTTTAAGTGGACTTCAGTGTTGAGTCATCATGGATTTTCAGCAGTTTATCAAAACTCTATCTAAAGTAGTAACAGCTGGGTAAACATTCAGTTAAATGGATGACTAGGAGGATTTGGGGGAATGGGAATTTATATAAGACCTTCAAGATAAGACATATATTTTGGACTGTGGCCAGTGTGACTCAGTTGGAGCATGGTCCCTTAACCGAAAGACTGAGGTTCAGTTCTCGGTCAGGGCACATGCCTGCACTGTGGGTTCATTCCCCGGTCTGGGCATTGTAGATTTGTTCCCCCAGTCCAGGTGTGTATGATTCCCTGTCCATCCCATCCATGCACATATGAGAGGCAACCAGTTGATATTTTTCTCTCACATTGATTTTTCTCTCCCTTCTTATCTCTAAAAGCATTGAAAAAAAATTCTTGGGTGAGAATTTAAAAAACATAAAAAAAGAAATGTATTTTAGAAAATGAAATGAACTATCCATTTCACTGAGAATTTATGGTTACATTGTCACTCATAATGATTTGCATTAGTCCTAAATCCATAATCCTCCCAATGAAAACATCCTGAAACAGTTTATAAAATCTTTAGTACTAGATGTTTTACTCTCTTATGTTGTATAAATAGATGAACCTTCTCAATGAGTAGTTGCTTTATTTTCCTGGTGAGAAAACAGAGGCTCAAAGAAATTAAACACTCAGAGTCAGGTGTGAAAGCAAGATGACTAGGACCTAAATCTTTTCTTCTAATTTCATTAATCTTTCCAGTGCCCCAAGACTGGGCAGAATTTCTGCCCAACTTATTGGTCTATTTTCAGGCTTGAAGGTTAGAATGTGAAAAGTGGATATTATACTGTTGAAAACAACAAATAGCTATAATATGATAAAGCTTTTAGGGTCTTATACAATTAAAACTTCATGCTCTGGTAAAATATATGACCTATGATTCTTTATAGCAGCAGAAATTGCAGACATCTTAATGTCAAAGTCCCTATCTCCAAAGTAAAAAAAAATTGGCTCTTTGTGGAGGGTGTGTGTGTGTGTGTGTGTGTGTAGGAGGTGAGATGGCGGGGTGGTCTTCTAACCTTGAACCAGCTGCCACAGTCCACCTCAAGTATCAGCCAGGGCAGCTGCCAAGGTAATCTACCAAATAGGAAGACATTTTTCTGGAAATCTTTGTTACCTGAACAGTTCCCATTAAATGATTTGGGCAAATTCTTGCACACAAGACCACTAAATCTCACAGGGAAGGGAGAAAGGGGAACAGGGAGGGGCTTATATCTGCTTCCACTTCCAGAAAATCTAAATGCCATTCATATTCACCCCCAAAATACCCAATTGCCCATGAGGGTGGGGCCAGGGGTGAAGGGAGTCCCGGTGTTAACACCCAGGTGTACTTTACATGTAAGTAGTGTAGGTAGAGGAAGGGCAGCAGATGACCAAGCATCCCCAGGAGATAAGGCTCACTTTCCAATATTGCTTTCCAAGAGAAGCTGACCTGTCACACAGAGTCCTTCTCCCCACTTTATTAATGCCCTGTGTTCCAAGGTTGACTATGGACTGGTGTAGTTTTTTCAAAATGAATTAAAAAATTAATGCATGACACAGGTGAAATGTCATTTCCACCAAACTCTCTTTGCATTGACTGAGCATATAACAGTTATGACCTGGAAAGGTGGAAACTTAGAGGGCAGTTTTGTAGCTAAAGACCTGTTTATGTAGAGAGCCTTTGCATAGTTTGACCTATGACTTCTTTTAGGAGGTTTTCTGGGAGGAATGAAGTGTGATTGGGTTCAAAGTGCATCCTGCAGAAGGACAAATAGGAACCAGGGCCTTCCATGTGATCCAATTTGATATAGGGCTGAATTCAAATCTTGTTGAGAAATGAGTTTTTCTTTGAGAATGAGGGTAGGGGAAGCAACAATGCTCTTCTGACCTGTCAAAAAGCAGAGTCCCACCCTGGCTGGTGTGGCTCAGTGGATTGAGTGCTGGCCTACAAAATGAAGGGTCACCAGTTAGTTCCATTACTCGTCAGGGCACATGCCTGGGTTGCAGGCCAGGTCCCCAGTAGTGGGTACACGACAGACAGCCACACACTGATGTTTCTTTCCCTCTCTTTCTCCCTCCTTCCCCCTCTCTCTAAAAATATTAATGAATAAAATCTTTTTTAAAAAGATGAGTCCCCATTTACTAGTGGTGGAAAGAGTTGATGTCTACCTTTTGCCATGACCAGCTTCTAACACATAAACTACCTATGTGATTAGGTGAAGAGAGAAAGTACAGATAAAGTAGGCGCTGCATGAACTTACAAGCAGAAAAAGCAAGGGCAGATGAATGGCAATGAGGAAAGCACCTGGAAATAGAACTCTGGTCTTCTTAAAAGATTTGCAGTTCTGTTGATGAGGTCTGAAGTGAGTTTACAGATGAGCAAGTGAGCCTGAGATGCTTCTGAGTTTCTAAAGCAACCTCATTCCCTGACATGGGACCAGTAAAGAGAGGTCAGACTGCCAGCAAAGCATGGAGAACTTTGTATCACAGTCTAAATGTTCAGGGAAAGACTAATGATGAAGTATGGGATTCCAAAAAGCTAACCTTGCATTGGATAAATACTAACTTAGTAAGTTGGGTTCTATGGTGGTGAAGGTAAATCAGGCCAGCAAAAAAAATTCAGAGGCCAGGAAATCTTACACTATGGTGGGATCTCTATTCATCTGTCCATTTCTCTTTTCACAGATCAGAGTGGTACTCCATCATAAACAGATTTCCTGCTCTATGTGAAAGGCCCTTTTTCAAATGCCAAGAACTACACAAGCAAGGTTCTTTGCAAAACTGAATGTCAATTCACCCTACTGCACCTCGTCCCCACTTGCCTCACCCTCATCTCACCAGACAGGCGCATGAATAATGGCAGTGTACATGACATGGGCTCAGTGGATGGCAGACAAGAAGCATGACTCTCCCCTTGCAGCCTCAGAGAAGTATTACAAGGATATATGGCAACCAGTCCCCAAACCTGAATTCTCAGAAAGTAAGCTGGACTCTTCAGACAATTATTCAGATCCTCATTAGATTATTTCAATAAAGCATGGAGTTTTCTCTCTCCCCATTTGCCCCACTGAGTCCATGGCCAGTACTTCCTCCCACTTCTCTTTAACATAAATAATAACAGGAGGAGGAGTTAAGCACCTGAGCACACTATAAGGACACTCAGAACATTCTAGGGGTACAAGTTTGTGACTGACTATTAGACATTGGGGGCAGGCCCCACTCACACACAGGTAAAGACATGACAGAGCTCCATGAAGATTCCACTGCCTTTGCTGAGCAGACAGCTAATGAGGCCAAAAACAAAAACAAAAACAAAAAATGGTATGATGGGAGCTTCTAGAAAGAGTCAGTGTCAACTCAGGGAAAAGTCAATGAGCCAGAAATAGTGGAGGCCTTTCAGCACCAGTCACCCTGAATTGCTTCTGAGCTACAGGCACAGGAAGCTGGCTCTCAGGTCCAGCAGGGTCATTTACTAAAAGTACGTGGGGTTTGAATCTTTAAATATTAATTAAACTGATAATATTCAAAAAGCTATTAAAAGAGTAAGTTGTCAGTCCCTAAGCAAACCTCATAACAGAAATCAAGAAAAGGCTTGACTTGAGAAAGTTGTCTCAAAAATAACATGCTATTTGTTGGCTTTATGGCTTTTCTTTGGTTCCAATTCTTTATGGCTGGTAAGTGAACATTGGTCTCTGGTTCTTTACTCATTCAGATTTCACCTGGCTGCAGTCCCCCTGGTGTTGCTGTACCCAGGGCCCCTTTCTCTCAGGGACCCCCCTCTCCCAGGAAAGACACTGTAGATTCTCACGGTTCAAAGACTGAGACTCTTTGAAGTCAACTGAGAAGTCACCTAGGCTACCAGTCCACCAGACCAGGAACTGCCTGGGTAACTCCAACAGGAGTCATGTGGCCACTTCCTGGGCTCCTCTGGTGTAAGCAGATGAAATGCTTCTACTTATTCTATGGAAACCCTGGAGTGTCTTTTGCTGCACCTCCCTCTATTTTAAGAGCAGTTGGATTCTCACAGTAGCATGGACCTTTTGAAACTGGTCTCCCCTAATGGCCATTCTGGAGGGTCCATTGTTACTGGATTACTGAATAATTGCCCTCGAGTCACTTCTGAGTCAGGATTCCTCTCCATGCAGGATTAGATAACCAAGCATTTCTCCTCAGGAAAGTGCCTTGAGGTGATTGCATTGTGGGAGCTTGAGGCCACAGTATTGTCTAGGAACTTTGTTCTTTTTAGGTGGCTGAGGCTCAAGTTTGGGGAGAAATTTATCTCTGGGCCCACAGAAGAGGAACATGATCAAGGAAACTACATGAGATGTTAGTCAAGGGAAAAGAAAATTTTTCCTACCCATTAAAGTAAAAATCAAGCACTGAATTTGACTCCAGATGTAGTGAAGTATAAGAAAAGCCAAAAGTGCTAGGCAGATTGCTAACTCCTGTGAGAAACAAGAAGAAAGCTTCACTGACATTATCACAAAAAAATTTTCCAACATCATTTAGGTGGACTTTTCATTTTGGTTCAGAGCCCTATTTAGTGCCCCTTACAGGATTTTTTCAGAAAACAGCTCTTCCCCACTAAAGATGTAAGACTTCCCATAAACTTTCTAAAAGTAGTCAAAGTCTACTCCATTTTTTAAACCCAAAATCCACCTCAAAAACTTTCCTCAAAACAAACAATTATTTTCATCATTTTCATCTGTGAAAATAAATATATGGCACAAATCCTGTTACTTTTAATTTTCAAAAAAAAGCATTTCCTTTTTTTAAAATCTCATGAAATGGAGGTTCACTTGAACAAGTACAGTCAAGATAATATGTTATTTTCTGATTTTTGAAATATTGTCTCTAATCACCTGATGACCCAGGAGCATGGAACTACAGAGTATGTATTTGACAGCCCCTTGTCTGGGCAACACTCACACCCACACATCATTTAAGAATGCTCACAGATATGGAGTAACCATGAACATTCTTCCTTGTGAAGAAACTGCAGAAGATTTCTTCTATAGACTCTTTGAGCCATGCAAACATCTAACCCAGTGTTAAGAAGACATGGATCTCAAACTTTCATTTTAAGAAGGAGAAAAAAAAAATCAAGATAGTGTCCCTTTTAAAAATCCGATGGAAGAAAACCTGTGCATTTTTGCTCCCAGGAGCACATGCTTAGGAAGCACTGGTTTAATCAAGCCAAGACTATCTTTGTCTAGACATAGCCAGCACACTCCCAGAATCCATGAATCACCGGTTATTTTTCAGAGCAGGCTTAGAACTCAATTCAAACGTGCTCCTTGGGGTTTGCTGGGACGGGCATAAAAGCAGGTCATTAGTCTTTGGAAGCCCAAGGAGGACATAGAAGAGGCTGAACAAGGATAAGTGGCCTTGCAAAGGGGAACAGGGACACCAGCCAGTCACTGCAGACAAAGCAGCCCTCAACTGCATGCGGAAGGGCCAGGACCTCTAGAGCTCCCTCCCCTGGGAAGCCGGGTGTGAGGTCACCACTCATGCGCAGAGTGGTCAAATTGTGTTTTGTTTGTTTGTTTTGTTTTATGTAAGGCTTAGAAAAACAGGTCAATATAAGGCATAAACAATAAGTCAGCATTGAGGCTGAGTTGTTCCTGAGATTTTCCCAAGGCCACAGCTTCTATTTGCCCCTTTGGAAGCCCTTCTTTCTTGCTATGATTCTAGCAGGACCCTGGGCGGCACAGGGAAGCATTCAGACACAACAGCATCAACACTAACCTGAGAAGTAGCTGCAGGTGAACTAGTTGCCTTACCACTCACTGCTGCCCTCTCACTGGCTGCGGCTTCTGCCACTTCTGCCTTCTGCACATTCGAATCCTCAGAACCTGGAGGCCCTATGTGCCCCAGACCTTCGCTCACTGGGGTGGAAGGTGGGTTGGTGGTAGCTTTCCGGGTTTGGCCTTTATACCAACTAGGGTAAAACAAGGGATCCGCAGTGTCCGTTGATGCAGAGACTGGAGTTTCAGACTCCGTGGTCTGCTGAGAGCCAGTGGATATAACCTCCCCCTTAATCAGGACAGATACATTCAAAAGTAAAAAGAGAAAAAGAAGAAGAAATAAAGCAGTCGATTTTAGTTCCCTTTGGGTTTGACAACTGTGAGCTCTGTGTGTAGTGCCTGATTTAGTGCATGTTTTAGTTCATTCCACCCTTGGCAAGTGCTAAGGGAAGGAATGATAACAGTGCTCTTCTTCGTAGCCTCGCAAGTGCCCCTCTTCTTTTGTGGGCTTGTTTTTCACCAGAGAATAACCTGGCCAGGCAGACAATGGAATCCTAAAATGAAAGTTACTTACAAAATATCAGATATGGGAGAAAGGTGAAACTATTGACTGCAATTAATTTTTCAAAAATGTGGGCCCCTAAAAACCTCTTTCCTAAAACCAAGCATTGATCTTATTTTCATTTAGTTACCACCCCTCTTCCAATTTCAGTGCAATTGGTATACCTAGATTTTCAAGATTCTAGGAACTATTAAAATAGTATTTTAGCCTGGTTTCCTATGGAGGCAGAGCATAGAATATACTTTCATCCCTGAGTTCTCCTTCTGCGGTTTTGTTTCTGTAGGTAATTTCAATTCTCTTTGAAAGCAGGTACAAATACAGGGCTCTTCTGTGATGAGTCTGCACTGTTCACAGACTCAACAGGTTGGGATCTGTCTGCTGAAAGTGGCACGCAGTCAGAACAGAGGTTTGAAAACTGGACTGTAAATTCTTAGAAATATAAGGTCAGCCAATCGGGTACTGCATCCAGGATAAGCTAACTTCCTTAGAAAAATTTTAAACAATCCTGTCACTATTTAATCTCATCATATGAAAGATACATAGAAAATTAAGCTTCATATTTCCCCACTGACTGAAAGATATAGATATATTTCAGGGTAAGCAAGAGGGACATAAACTAGCATGGCTTCTCTATTCACTTCCATTATAATCTACAGAAAATGCAAAGTTTAAAAGTATAATCATTTTTATTTTTCACTCTATATTATTTATTCCTCACTCTTTACCCTGTATCTATATTGAGCAGACCTAATCTTCACAATTTTGGTGCTCTATGAACATGTCACACACACATACAATTTCCAGACAAAGATTGCCTCCAATCTGAGGGTGATGTTGGTGGAAAATCATGTTAAACCAAATGTTAACAATCAGTTGTAACAACAATGAATCCGTTGAATCACCTACAGGGACTTTTCTCCCTAACATTGTGACTGCCCTGAAATCTTTTGTCTTCTACATACAGATGTCTGGCACATGGTTATCTTCTCCTTAGGGTGGAATAAATTGTTTAGGCAGTTGGGCAAAGAAGCACACCTGCAAGTCCTGTAGGAAAGAACTCCTGAATGGTTACCTGTGTCACCGGGGCATCAGCAGCAGGTGGCAGGGCTGGAGGTGGCTCTGGAGAGGAAATAGGAAGAGTGGCTGGGGCAGCCTGGAGCTCTGAGGCCAGCTGAGAGGGTTCCAAGGCTTTCTCCGGACTTTCATCTTCTCCTGATGGCTCTGTTTGAACATTTTCTACCTCTTCCAATTTTACTCCTTCTCCTTCTCCCTGTCCCTCTCCTTCTCCCTGTCCCTCTCCTTCTCCTCCGCCTCCTTCTTCTCCCTCTCCTTCTTCTCCTTCTTCTTCTTCCTCTTCCTCTTCTGGTAAGGTAATGTATTTTTAAATCATTACAATTACTAGTGCAGCCATGAAAACAATTAATGGCCAAGGCTAGAGAAATCATCTTTAACAGATACTTGACTATGGCCCAAGTATGCCATGCTGGAGTTTTGCACTTCTAGTTAAATGTAGACAAGACAACTGTGAAGGGGACACAAATCATCACCATCTTCCTTTCTCCCCTCCCCACTAGGATGCATAGTCCTCATCACTACCATGCACCATCCCTCTGACCTTTGCCCAGAATCTGTTCACATTTTTATCACACTCTGTCACAGCTGCAGCCTCCTGAAGGGCTAGGATTGACACTTATTTATCTCCATCAAATCAAATAGAAACACAGCTCTCTTCCTTATCTGAGAAAACATACAAAAACCTTGTCTTATTTTAATTTCTTACCTGCTTTTTTCAGTAAATGCTGACTTTTGCCACAATAACTGCCATGACTCTTTCTCTAAGGTTAATATTATTCCCTCAGGCAATATTAAGGGGAGATAATATTAAGTAATTTATAAAAAGATCTATCCTGAAGATTTGCTTTTAAAGTTATATCTATGGACAGTAATCCACCTTCGTGGCATTAGTAGTGGTCCAGCGGAGGTGTCTCATCACCTAGATGTGCTAGGGTGGATCAAGCCATCAAAGATTTGGTCAGCTTCAAGGTTATTTTCTTCTTGTCAATGATTTCATCAGGATAAATTTCCAGGAGTGGGATTTCTGAGCCACATGGTAGGAATGTGTTTATAACTCACAGAGTACATCTGGCCACATGGACTAAGTTTTTATTCCAGGTTGTGACTTATTCTGTGACTTGCTACTATTCTTGCCCTCTGATGTCTTCTATGTTTTATTTTTATCTCATCCTTAACTTTGTACCTGATGACATTTTACTTCATTGTGGCTAACACCTTCTATAGGGCTGAAATTGAGATTTTGTTATCACCATCAGTTATTAAGTATTTGACTACCCAGAGTCAAATACCCAATAATGACATTACAATGGGCACTGTGATATGCAAGACTAAACAAACACTGTCAACAAACTGTTGACAAACTGTTGATTTTGTAATGAAATAGAGCTTCACATTAGATTACAATCCTCATAAAATTGTCACCATCCATTCTGAAAGTGATTCTGAATCCACATTTCCTCTCACTGAACTCTTCTGCAGCTTTCAATACACCTGCAGTTTGGGCCAAATGGTCACAAGAATAACAAACCTCTGTAAAAATCAATTTCACGTATGATTTTTTCTTCTCTATTAAGGTTGACTGTGAAGTGGTTCATGTTCTCATAACCATGCTCTATTTTCTCCATCTGAAATGCCTTCGATGCTTCAGAAATTCTGCAACAAAGACAAGTTGCCACTTACTGTCATGGTTTACAGTTCGATAGCCCTGGGTGAAAATGAAAAATATGCATTTTTCTATAAAATGAAAATTACTTACTTTTGTAAAAGGGTTTTGGCATTCTGTGAAAGCAAACAAAAGACAAACCTACTTAAATTTTTTGATCAAAGATGATGTTTGAGACTTAATTCTTTCCTTTGCTGACTCTGAAAATTTTGTGGCTTAGTTTTAAGTGCCATAAACAACTGCTTATTTATGCCAGAATCCTCTTATATTTAAGCAATGTTGTGGGCCCTTAAATATATGCGCATGGACTTGTTTAAACAGATGGAAGATAGGCACATAATGGACTTATATTTTAGTTGGTAAAATGGATCAGATGAGGTTGCATATAAAGTAACAAAAATACGATGACAACTACTTCTCCAGCACCCACCTGTTTGGTCAGCTTCCTCTGGTGTCAAAAGGAGACTTACCTGCAGAAATACTGCCATTTCTGGCTCATCCATGAACTGGATTCCCGACTCAACCAACTTTGATACATTCTCCAAGTGATCAGAATACTTTTTGATCAGGGCACGGACATGTTCCAGTTTCTCTCCTTGGGTTCGAGTAATGACTTGGGTCATCTCATTCTTCCTCTCCTCCAGGATGCCATACAAGTAATCAAACTTCTCACAAAGTTCCTGTTTCTGTTTTTTGCAGCATTCCTGTTAGTTGGGTTAGCTAATGTTAGAAAGTGTTTGAAAGGATGTCTGTTTGGAGAAATCACCTGAACATTTTGGGAAATAAGAAAATTTATTTATCTAGGATTTTTTTTCTTTTCCCTTAAGCTGTCATTTACTTATAGATTCCCACTGTATGGATACTTTGAAAATCCCTCTTTTATCAAATTTGTATTTGGACAATCAAAAATCAGTTAAATTGGCTAAATGGATCAATGATTTTTCAATCTTCTGTTCTTTATAAATGGAGAATTTCATATAAATTAGGACAGGTTTTGTTTTAAATTACGTATTGGTTATATAGCTTATAGGTTTATATTTTGCTTTGGGATGAGTGTATGTGTGTGTATGTGTATATGTGTAAGAAAAAAAACTATGGTACTTCCTGGTTTGTACTCTCAGTCTCTCTCTGCATCACCTATATGCTACTGTTCTAGTTTCAGTCCTGCCATGTAGATTCTGAAGCTTCCAATGGCTCTGCATCTGGGATACCTCCTTCAAGCTAACTAACATCACTGCTAGCAAATTCATTCTCCTAGGTTCAGTGCTTTCTCTCTGTTATGACTCCCCATTGCCCAAAGAATAACATTTTAACTTTACTACTAGCATTCAACCCCCTTCATGGCCTGAATCTAGCTTTCCTTCACAATATTCTGCTCTTCTCCATCACATATTATGCCTGTGTCCAGCAAAAATGAATCACTCACTTTCTTTGCTCATGTTGTCCCTCTGCTTAGAATGTGTTTTCCCAATTTGCAGCAACCATTAAGCAATCTTAAAGACATGTTGAAATACCACTTCTTCCTTGAAGCTTTCCTTGATCTCTATGGCTGAATGTCATCTTTTAATTCTCTGAAGTTCCATAATAGTTATCACTTATGGGATATACTTGTATCCACCAGGTGCTCTATTTATCCAATACTGTGTAAGAGAGGGAAATACTGAATCTGGTATTAGGTTCCTAAGAAAGGCTGTATGGGAAGTCAGCCTTGCCCATCTGCACTGTGTGTCTAAAGCATCTCCAGTACCATCCAGTTCCATTTACTCTGAGTCCATGTTTAAATCATAATTAATTTTCCAGTTGGCCTGGTTATTGGCCTTTTGGTTTTCAAACTCCAGTAAGCTTGGTGTGTGTGTATGCCTGTCTCTCTGGACCTGACCATGTCTGGGTCCAGAGCCTTTATAGCTGAGAGCAGGTTTTAAGCCATGGTGATCCAACCTAGAACTCCTGCCCAGTGGGTGCTTCCTGAATCCAGCCAATTTATCTCTGACATCTCTGACCTTTGTATGACCCTTATTACCCATTCTTTCATTTTAGTAAACATTATTCTCTTTGATATAGTATATTACTTTCTTCCTTTGTGTGAATTTCTTAAATATCTAAATTATAGAATCTGAATCTGCCTAAGACACATTACCACCTTGGAGAGCAGATGTCCAATAAATATCTGTTGAACAGATTTTTAAAAATCATGTTTCACTTCTACTCAACTTCTCTACTATTCTCAGACTAAGAGGGGAAAAAGGGATAACCTAAAGCAAATTGCTGATTATGAAGATACTTCACAAATGTGCAACTAATACATCCCTCACTCCACTGCCTCCATTGGATAATGGTCAGTTCTCATCACATTTCTAACCAGTCACAATACATGGAGGAGATCTAATGGTACAGACCATTTTAATAGTAAGTATAGTATTCCTGTCATCCTCTCAACCATTCATTCATTTAACAAACAATTCTTACACATGTCATTTGTGTCAAGCACTGTGCAAAGCTCTGGGGCCCTAACAATGAATTAAACATAGTTCCTGTTCTCAGGGAGCTCACAGTTCAATGAATGAGAAATAATATGTGCCAATAATGTACTATAAACTAGTAAGCTGAATAATAGAAATATATTAAATATTTATATGACGTTTTATAGAAGTGTAGAGGTGGGGCCTTAATCCAACACTTTGTTTGGGCAGGGGACATCTGAGGGGAAAAGGACCAGGAGTGGTGATGTTAGCTCAGGAAAAACTTCTTAGAGGGAGTGGTGCCCAAATTTGGCCACAAAGGATGAATAGGAGTAGAGGAGGTACAGCAGGGAATAAAAATGTGTGGAGCCTTGACAGTTGTCAAAGTAATAGGACTAGGGCCCACACAGCATGTCCAGACATGGAAATTGCTGGGCTTACCAAATTTCCATCCATTTCCAGCCCTTTAGCTTCAGATTTAGACTATTATGCAGGCTACAAACTGATGCATGTTAGTAGCTTCCCATTCAACATTTCTTTCTCTGTATTACCTTCTGTCCTAATCTTACAAGCAACCATATATCCGCTGCATTTCTGAAACATGCCTTTGATGTTCATATGCTTGGCTATTTACTGTAAACATATGATGGTTTGGGGGTTATTCTTCTAAAATAAATTGTGGCCCTAGCTGGTGTGGCTCAGTTGGTTGGAACACTGTCCCCTACACCAGAAAACTGTGGGTACAATTCCTGGTCAAGGCACATGTCTGAGTTGTGGGTTTGGTTCCCAGTCTGGTTGGGAATAAGAGGCAACCAATTGATGTTTCTCACATGGATGTTTCTCCCTCCCTTCCCCCCTCTCTAAAATCAATAAACATGGCCTCAAGTGAATAAATAAATAAATAAATAAAGGAAAATGAATTGAATTGTGCACTTAAAACATTTATAATAATGAGTATCTTATTAAGATGTGACACTAGCAGAATGTCTTTGTTTTATAAAAGCTTTCTCTTCTATGATTTAATATGTATGAGAACATTTAAGTTTGTGAAAGTCAAATCCTTTTCAGTGAGACTAATGTGAAGCCATGTGTCATGGCTAGTGTATTCACTCAAGTCAAAGATTACATCACTTATTTGGGCCATATAATTTTATCTAGTGGCTTAAATGGAATACCAAGTATTATTTTATTTCTATTCTGTCTTTTTAATGGTTTGTATTATATTTAACTTTGATAAAATTACTATCATTTTAATAGCAACCATCATTTGCTCAGTTTGGGAAATGCTACCCCATGAATAGTATATTTTTAATTATTTATTATCATCACCACCATCTTCATCATATGACTACCTATTTTGTAAAGCATTTACTATATTACTTGTCACATAGTAGGCACTATATAAGTTTTTATTAATTTAGATCTAATTTTCCTTTATTTTAATTAATCAATTATGGAATTCTGAAATTGCATGGAATATCAGATGTAACTGCTACAAACCAATCATTTTACTCACATAAAATACAACAGAATTAAGTCACTTTCTCAAACTAGACTATCATTTACTCTTGGTGCCTGGCCTAGAGCCAAGATCTTTGAACTCCTGGGTCATTGCTATTCCCACCATACCCAGCAGTGACATACTTCCAAGTAACTTGAAAAAAAATTTGTATGTGGACTGCTAATCAACCGAATATGCATCTTTTCACAACTCTAGTAATGCTCACATGAGAAATATGATTTGAATGATTGGATGAATGAATGAAGTATGACTTGTATCTAGCAATGGTTAGCTTTCAAAAGTTTCTGTTTTGTTCTGTTCCAAAGAAATAGGTATTTAACTGGATACCCCAAGCCACTGCTTCATTCAATGCTCAAAAGAAAAGAACGAGAACAGGATATGCAATATTAAAGAACTCATTTAACCTCAGGACAACAAGACACTTTTTTATTTTTATCTGTACATTAATGCAGGACTTTCCAACCTCTTTGGCATCATGGACTAGTTTTGTGGAAGGCAGGGAGGGTGGGGGAGGGTCCGGGAGGCTGGGAAGGGGGAGCTTCACTCCACCACTGAGGATGGGGGTGGAGGGTGGAGACAGGAGGCAGAGCTCAGGAGAACTTTGCTTGCAGCCTGGTTCCTAATAGGCCAGAGCTGCTACTGGTCTGCAGCCTGGGGGTTGGGGCCCCTTGCATTAAGGGATCAAAATGAATGGTTGCTAAGGTCTCTCTTCTCTATAGTTCAAATATTCTATGGGCTATGAAATGCCTCTTTACATACAAAATGCCTCTTTTGATTCCCAGCAAGTTTCAGAGTGGTCATCTACAGCACTAAGATATAAATTGTATGTCCTAGCCCTGCAATATCAGCCCCATGGCAATGTGCCATGGCCATGACAGAAAAAAACCTGAGACAGTTGTGACCACCACTCTTACCATGTAAGGAGTGAGGCTCTGTGACCAAAATAGAGATGAAGATAAGCTTTTAGCCCTACCACTTGTCATTGAGCAACTGGCTCTACCAGGCCCATTCATATCTCTACCACATTCCTCCATTCGCCACACACGTGTCTGGAGCTGCAGCTCTGGGTCTGCAAGTGCCCACTCAGCTTCGCCTGAAATACACACTACTTCAAAATTACCTTCAGTAAAGCAAAAGAGGGTAAAAAAAGTATACAATAGATTAATAATACTAAAGAAAGAACTACCTCAAGGTAGGAAGATTCTCCTGAGTATTTCAAACCCAACCCCTCACTCGTAAAGGCCTATTACAAGCACTTGGAAGAAGTCTCATGAGTGCAGACTAGGATGAGAACCCAGGTCTCTGCCAGGCTGCACTAGAAAAGAGACAGACACATTAGAAAAATGCTGTGCCTCCAGGCACACGGGCTGGAGTTCAGCCCCTCTCCAGCCTGCGAGGCGCCTCTGCACTGTGTTCAGTGGAACAACCCTATTCAATGACCTTAGGTATCAAGACTTCCAAACTCATGCTTTTTTTCTACCATATTGTCATTACCTACTTTATGTTAGAAAAATAATTATGTTATAATTTATGGAAATTCTAATGCTTACCCCTGGGGTTCTTGGCACTAGGGGTTTTTCTGGACTAGTCCAAATCGTTTAGAAGGTCCTTAGGAAAACCCCCTGAAGGCTGAGGGCCAGGTGAGCCCATCTTGACTTGAGCCCCATGGTTCAGTAAAAGTCATAAGACCACAGTAAGCTGAGCAGCTGTTTAATTCATTCCCATCTGCTGTGGTTAGTCAGCACCTTTCCCAGAAGAGGCTCAGCCTCTGCTGGTTACCAATATTTCCATTTACCGCAAAACCTCTTAGGTAAAGATGGAGCTTCCATTCATTCTCACTTTTTCCCTCTGCAGGGGGTTGCTTCATCCTGCTATCAAAATTGACCAAGACCCTGATATGCTTACTCTGATGCCACCTACAATAGGCTACAGTTGCTGCAGTGGTTTAAATGACCATTAACATCATTAGAATAAGTGTGCTCTTTCTAAGATGACTCTGAGGATGATACAAGGTGATGCTTATTGAGCCCCTGGCATGTGCTCTTATCCCAATTTAGCCATCACAACAACACTGTGAAGAAGGTATTCTCTTCTAAGTACATATTATATTTTCTCTAGAATATGGCCTCAAAAATTAGGGCATACTTATTAAAATGAATCTTATTTTAGTCATACTTCCTATTTGTAACTGCATGGACAATGTCTCAGAGCTGTTTGGATAAAACCAATGTTTTAGAAATACAGTGGTTCTCGTTGCAAAATCATTAGAGAATTTTATTAAAGTTTTCATTTTTTCAGATATTGCAAATGCTCAAGATCAAATATTTATTATTCAATTTGTAGCTGTTTCCCTTAAACAGGTATCCATATGAAACAAGATCATTTCCAGCCTGCCTGCCCACCTGCCTCAGGAAGGCCAATATTAATATTCTGCTCTCTTGGGGTCCAGTGACATAGAATTAGTGTCATTTATAAAGACTATAAGAGGGAGGTTATGTTTCCTAGGGATGAAGAATGAAACTCAAACACATTTGCCTGGAAACAGCTCTGAGGCAGTATACTTCACCACTCCCTCCAGCAGCCCCCCTCTTCAGTCCCAGTCTGTCCCAGAACAGGACAGCTCTGGGCCTGGAAAGGCAAGGGTAGCCCCCAACCATGGTGGGCTCTGCTAGAATAGCCCAGAAGGCCCTCCAGTGCCCTGCAATCCAGAGCACTGGGAATGCCCCAGGCTGAGCCACATTCAGACGGCTAGAAGGAATAAAGGCTCCTTCATCTTCCATCAGACCTCAGCAACAAAGGAAAATGTGCTCCCCTCTGACACAGTTCAGACTGTCCTTTTGTGACTACAGTCCTTCTCAGTGCCACTCTCGTCATCAATGCAAACTCACAACAACTGGAAACATTATTTTTAAAGGATAAAAATGAGTCTACAGTATGATTTTCCCTAAGCTCAGCAGCTGTCCAGGGCCAGTCCTAGGCCAGGTGCCTGCCCAGGCCAGCTCTGTAAGACATTGAGTGATTAGGAACAAAATTAGACATGTGCAGGGAATGGACACTTGACCAAGGGGCAGGTGTCAGGCCCCTCCTGGGGAGAGGTGAAGTAATTAGGGAAGGATAGCGCCCACCCCAGGGGCTACTCCATTTCCCATCCCTCAGGGGTTCCTCACCAATCAGAAAGGAGAATTCTTTAATAACATCTCCCCACCCCCTGGTCAGCTGCCACCAGAGGCTCCTCAGAACATGTTTCCAGGCAGGTGGTGAGCTGAGCCAGAGAGGGAAACAACAACCCAGGCAGAACAGGAGACACAAGAGCTCTGTGACCCTGACCCTGGGTACAGCTTTCACCTGCTTGGCAAGGTAGGACCCTTTTACTCTGAGGCAAGGACCTGGTGTACTTCACTAGCTGATGGACCGGCAGGAAGTGAACCTCCTACCTCTCCAGGAGAGCACCTTAGTGATTACAGGTATGTAGTGGCCATTTTGTGCCAGTGTCTGTCCTCAGGGCCTCTTCAAATGGGGGACATTGGCGTCAAGTAGGAATCACAGAATCAGAGACCTCCATGGGGATCTGAGCTGATCCCTGCATTTCCAGACGAGCTAACTAAACTGATCTAAGAGCTGTTATCTGAGCCATATTAATTCATTCATTCCTTCCTTATTTATTTTATTGTGTATTAAAAGTGTCAGGCTCGCTTTAGAAAAATGTGGAATGCAGGAATATATAAAGAAGGCATTGAAAATCACCCACGGTCCCACTATTCACTGCCCTTACCCTTTTGATTTCTGGAGTTTTCCCCCCTATGAATGTATGTAGGGTTATGTATGAATATATACATTCCATACTGTTTTATGTACTGCTTTTTCGATGTATTTCCTTAAGGTAAAATCCCAGAAGTGAAATAAACAGGTAAAAGGGATGGACACTTTCAAGACTCCTGCCAATTTACAGTGTCATCTTGAAGCCTTGCAGACGACAATTACACACCATCCTCTAGTAATCTGAGGAAGTACTTATAAAAGTTTGTTATGTTTGCTGAATGTTTTTATCAGTAACTCTAGAGGTCATAATCCTGATGGTCGCTGCCAAGAAATTCTTCCTGACATCTGCACTAAATTCCTTCTGCTGACTTAACTTCAAACCTGTTTCTTCTTGTCTTGTTCTCAGTGGAAGAAATAACAGCTGCTTCCTATTGTACCCCCAAGCCTCCAGGAACAAAATGGGTTCTCAAATCTCTCTCTCTTCATGCCCTCTCAGTGTCCTCTGATCCTGGATAGGTGAGGCCAGCTTGTTTGCATTTGCTCAAGGCCAACTGTGATTCACAGGCCTTTTCTCCTGTATGTGTTCTTAAAAGTCCCTGACAGAAAGCCTGTTCCCACGACAGAGGTCTCCGATCAAGGCCTGACCAGTGATGAGTACAGATTAACACACTGATGTACTAACAACATGCTCCTATTTACACACTCAAGACTTAGTGTGGTACCACATTGGAGTGCTGATTCACGGTTTAATGACTGAGTTGTATTTGTCCTTTACTGTAAATAAGTAAAAAGAAAAGTTTATATTGTCTACTTCACAATGTCTTTGAGTTTTTCACCAAGAGAAAAGTTTTCTTCTATAAATGGATCCCAGATTTATCATGGATTTTAACAGGATTATGAGTGTGAAGAAGAAAGGAGATTGACTTTAATTATGTGTAAGTCTATAATGAGATGATTATGGCCAATGCCTTGAAGTCATCATCTCGGAATGGCCTTTGGCTTTTGATACAATGTTGCCTTTCTAATGATAAAATAATAGGAATAGGGCACTTACCTTATACCAGACACTGTACTAAGCATTTTGCTTATGCTTATTTAATTCCTCACAGTGACTATAAAGTAGACACTATGATTACCCCACTTTTACAGATGATAAAACTGAAAGATTGAATGTACATGTGACTGGATCTTAAAAGCATAATGCTGTTTTTAAAAAAGTAAGAAGCGGAAAGAGAAATACAATGCCATTTATAAAATTAAAAGACATGCATATAAAACAGTACACATTTTATAAGAATACAGGTACATGGAACATCAAACATGTTAGACTGGTTATTTACAGAGAAGAAAACAGGAGTGGGAAATGGGGATAAAAGGAAATAAATAAATCAGAGGGACCTTGCCCCCAGATATGAAGACAATAAGCCATGAACTGAGCGGCACAGAGCCTCAATTCTCTGCACCTGAAGTCCAACTAAAACAAATCCCCCCAAAACTGAGAGCAGGGAGGGAGGAATGAAGGGCTCCCAGGTACAGAGCCAGAGACCCAGATGTCTGACACCTACCCCTCTGCAGCATGGCTTAACTGGCCTGTGAATCTTCAAGTCTTGAAAATATATCTGCTACAGAGCTAAATCTCTTTAGGCTTCAGCATTTTGCCTTCAGCAATTACACAGTTTGTAAATGACCTTGAGGAAGAATAGATTCCCCATGTCTTTTACATGCCAACCCTAAGTGTAAGCTAAAGAACCAGCCATTCATCCATTTGTTCAAGTTTTCATTTAGTGTTCATTATGTGCCAGGTACTGGGCCAGGGAGAGGGCAGAGAGTTGAATGAGTGAGAACTCGGGCTTCCATGAACTCCCAGCTACTGAGTCACTTTGGAACCACAGTCAGGCAGATCTCTGTCCTCCTGCTGGCCCTTTGCAGCCCCACTATCAGGGTGCAGATATGCAGCTCAAACCTGCGTATGAATTCCTAAAGCACTAACTAGCATTTCCTAAAACCATTTGGATTTCCCTAGAGAAATTGTGCTATAAAAACAGACAACACTCATTTTCATTACTGGGAATTATTTTTCTTGTAGCCAATCTTTCAAAATGTGTTGACCATGAAGGAGCAACACATATAACAAAAGCCTAGTAAATGTGGTGAAATATGCCTTATTGACTCATGAGGTTACTTCTCTTCCTGTACTAGGCAGGAGGTGAATATTTTAGAGACAAACCAGGAAGGAGGTCATTAAATGTTGAAATTGGGATTTCTAGTGTAATATTGAGGAAGTCACACCCCCATAAGTTTGGGCTTGGGTTATACTCCTATGGAGACTTGACTTACCTCAATAGTTTTACAGGTGTCCTCCAGCTGGCTGATCACTCCCTGGACTCGATCATTGTTTCCCACAAGGACAGCAATGCCATCACTGAGCTCAGACTAATGAGGAGAAAAGAGGGGTGCAAGATCTTAGGGGTTTTCTAGTCAGCACTGATTGTGTATTAATCATAGCATTGTCCTCAATAGGTTCTTAATCTAGGATCCGTAAAACCCTAAGGAGTAACAGTGGGACTTGGGAGGTTTAGAACCTCCTAATCTCGGAAATAAAACTTTGTATGGATGAGTATAGAAATGCATTTGTGTGGGGTGAGGTTTCATATTTTTCATAAAATTCCTTACTGACTGTGGCCCTGCTGAAAATATTCAAAAAGCTAAATTATAGGCCACAGATAGAGTAGCATGCTCAAGCTAAAGAATTCTAAGTATTGTTTAAAATTGAATGAAATCTAGTATGTGACATCATGGACCCAAAATAAATTATTTACCAAGTCATCTGAAGATCAGTTTTACTAGGAAAATGTATATAGTAAATATTCATTCATTCACTTATTTACTTACACTTATTCAACATATACTTATGCACCTTCTATGTACTAGGTGTACGCACACTCACAAACTTGAAACTACTAACATACAGCTGTTTCTAGGGGAAATTTCTCTCATATTCTTGACCCAAAGAGATTCCATTGTTTGTACTTACTCCCTTCCCAAGGTTGGCTAAGGAGCACCAGGGGTCACAGAATGGGGAAACCTACTTGAATCATCTCTGCCTTTACCTTCTCTATGATGTTGGGCAAAACATGTGATCTACTTTTCTCACACATTAAGTGGTAAGAGCAGTGGTTGCAAAAACAGTTTAAATTGCAGAATCCTTTATTTAAATGGAATAAATAGATGAGAGTGAAGCTGCTTTGGCCACATAGGAGTGGGATAGAAGTTCTGCCATCTGTCCTTCTATCCATCCCATATGAGTCTCCAGGGCTCTGAGAAAAGCAGTGTGACACTGGTACTATTCAGTTCTAGCACACTAAGAATTGGGGGCAGGGATGGAAGGAAGGAAGGAATAAATTACAAGTTGATTAAAAATAAATGTTGTATCAATAGATGTCTTACTGAATTCTGCTTCTTTAGCAGTTAGGGCTCACAGTGAGAACTGGTGTTGCCCAATGTGGAATCTATGACTCTAATAGAAAGAAGCAGAGATAGGGAGCTGCTCAAATCCTAGGTGCCAGGAGTGGCTGCACACATTTGAGCACAGGACTCTATACATTTATTTGGATCAAATGGAGAAGTTCCTACTTGTCCATGGGGGAAACTATACCAACAGGTTAGTGATAAGCTGAGGGAGATGCCACATTTGGTCAGAATGAGAGGACTAAGCCTGGAGGCCCTGGGGTAGGGGCCTTTAGAGGAGGCCTTTATCAACTGGCCTGGAGTGAAAGTCTAGGAGGGCAGTTTCACCTAGCCTCAAGGGCCAGCACAAGGCACTGTTTTAAAATTGTTCTTTGACAAAATGCCATTCATTGTATCTCTGCCCCACTAGAGTGAGGAAGACAAGGTGTGTGGGTGGGAGTAGTAGGTAAAAGGAACTTTTTGTTGGTGAATGCAGAAACATACCCTGTGACTGGAATAAAAACTTGTCCTTTCCTTATCTGTAGTCTGAATTTCAAATAATGTTTGAACAGTTTGAGCTCATGGTCCTACAGCACTGCTCATCACCAGCAACCTGCAAAGGGCTCCAAAATAGAGAGCCTTCCCCTGCAACCTCCTTCTTCACCCTCTGCATCCCTTCCATCTCTGGCCTTCCAGAACACCCACCAGAGAATCAACCATGGGGCCACATGGGCTCAGCATCCCTTCCCGCTGGATCCTGTGCCCTTCCTATTTCAAGGCCCTGTGTCCGCATGTGGCTTTGGTGGCAGAAAGCCAATTGCAAGGGCACTTGAAAGGGGCTTCGGAGGAGGGACAGGAGGGACTCTGTTACCTTCTGCCTTTGGAACACGTGAGTGAGGGGTGCCACCTGGCAGTCCTTGTGTGCCCCAAAGATCTTGCACAGAGAGCAGGTGGGCACCTCGCAGTTCAGACAGTAGATGTTTATGCGCTCCTCTTCATGCTCCTCGCACCTGGGCTGGTCAGCCTTCTTTTCTGGTCTGGGGAACAGTAGCAGAAAAATTCCTCAGCTCCCACTGAGGCAGAGCCAAGATGGGCCATCAGCACTGCAAGCCCCAGCTAGTGACCACATTCCACAAGCTCCCAGAGCTGTCCACATTTAGCTTCCCTGCAAGGGTAGCAGTCATGTGCTGACAAACCTCTAACAACCAGCCTGGGGTGGGGATGAGGTATTGGAGACTCTGATCTGCAGCATATGCCAGCCTTGGTGGTGTGAATATTCTGAGCAAGTCAGATTTCATGTTATTGAAGGTTCAAAAACCAGCTAGCACAATTCCTAAAAGTTAGGAGAATACCCCAGCACTGTCTCCATAGGTCACTAGTTTCTCAAGAGAACACCTGCCATTCACCCAGAAAATTAAATGTAAATAACTTCCTGAGGATTTGGCAGTGGTTAAGAATGGTAGTATGTACTCAGTGAAAGTGATCAATTATACTAAATGAGCAATAAGAAAAATGCAGAATTCTGTTCTGGGACATGGTGGGCCTTAGAAATGCAAATGTCACTGATAAGTCCCAAGCTTTAGTTTTCCCATCAAGTCAGCACTAACCAAAACTTATTCCAGCTGCAGCAGATAATAATGGAGCATTGATTGTGTATGTGCTAGTGAGATGACAAGCAAAGAGTGAAGAATTGAAACCAGGAGGGAAGCGGACATATCATTGCTACTAACAGATAACCTGTTAGCTGTGGAATCACCTGTAGCAGCCCAAGTTCACACACAGAAGAGCACCCTGTATATTCTCCTAACCATCATCATGGCTTAGGTGTCATGATCAAGATTGGATTTGCACCAAGGTATGGCGCTTTAGGTCCCCTCTGGAGAGTGTGGTGGGAGGTGTGGATGTAGCCTGCTCACACCACAATCTGGAATTTTTATATATCTTATCCAAAGACTGAGGCTGTTAATAGTTTTCAGAAGTATTTGAAAAATTTAATACAAGTCCCAAACCTTGTCTCATACTCCCAAATATATGGTTATTTAGAAGTATCTCAGATTTTGAATTGATTTTTTTTTAGTTGTTATCAAAGTGTACTTTTTAAAAACTTCAAGATGTTATGGTCCATAAAATCAATTTAGGGGGTCATGACCAGCCTATGAAATAAAATAATAAAAAATAAAATAAAATACAATAAAATAGCCAATACTGTGAACTACATGTAGTAAGGATCGAGTATTGATATATGAAACTTTTGTTTCAGTTGTACATATATAGGTACAACTTATGTGCATAAGTATATATGGGAACTTGAAACAAAAGTATATATGTCATTGTATCTGTTATCTGTATTCATCCATGTATGTAATGGTCACTAGATCACAATGCAAAACATACTTCCTCCTATGAGACATGAATCAAAATGTTTGAAAACCACTAATATTGATATGTAATATAAGGTAGCTGCAGACCCAGAGCTCAGAGCAAGGTAGTGAATATGCTGATTCTCATCTTTAAGTCACTAGGTTGAAGTTAAGTGCTTGAGACTGAGAAGAACCCTGGATCTGGTAAGGAAATTGTATGGACTGTCAGCTTCAAGATTTCAGAATATGATTTTTATAAAAGGAATTTTTGCTTCATCTCATAGCAATATGTTTCCATGAGGTCAGTGACCTCCTGGCCTGATTTCTGCCATGTGCCTGGAAGCTAACAGAGGAAAATAAATACCACCCTCAAGAAAACATGTCTCCCCTCTCAGGTCTGTCTGTTCCCTCCACTAGAATATGAGCTCTCTGAGGGCAGGGACAATGGTCTGTCTTCTGTTTTGCTTCATCCCTAGTGCCCAGAACAATCAATGTCTTGCATACAGTGGGTGCTCAAGAAATATTTATTGAATTAATGAGTGAGAATCGAAAGAGAATTTGTCAGATTAGTGGATAGTACTCCCCATGCTTTAACACCAATCCACTCATTCAGAAATGGCGTGTGAAATATGGGGAAAGCCTGGGGTCACTTAGCACTCACGAGTGGCGGAAAAAACAGACAACAGCCTAAAGACTTTATTGATAAATGACGAAGCTCTCTGGGGCTTATGTAGAGACTGGGAGTGGTGATTTGGTGTTTGTTTGGGCAAAGGTTCACCCCTGAAACTTTCCCTCTCATGTGATTCCACCTCACAGTAAATGTGAAGAAAGTGTCTGGAGCACATTTACTGGAAAATGGCCCAGGCAGTGCTGCTGCGGCTCGTCTCTCCAAGGCATTCCCTGAGGCGGCCTGCACCCCTGTGCTGTTCCGATATCAACAGCTCTGACCACAGACATTGTGAAAGAACTCGTATTTTTCAGTACGTGTAAACACTGAAGAAGTGGAAATAGCCTTAGGCTCTATGTTTAGTATCTTATTGTGATAATTTATGTTTCATAAAGCAATACAGATTGGCAACTACTTCCCATGTTCCTTATTAGGTTGTCCTTGTTTAGGTGGCAACATGGGCCCAGAGGCATTTCCCACTTACAAATAGCATACAATGAAAACCTTTAGACAACTTAAAAGATATAAGAGACTTGGGACAAACACGGTGTGTTGAATAAAGATGTAAATGGTCTTTCATGACATGAGGACGGCTCAGCTCACAGTGTGGTTCAGGGCTCAGCGCCAGGTGCTGGCAGGGACCCTTGCCCTTTGTATAGGCTCGACTCATGGAGTCTGTAGGTGGCACTCTCTGGTCTCTGAGGTTGCTGGGACCATCTTAGAGTTTCCTAAGGGATGGACATCTGGTCTCAAAGAGGCATTTCAAGCAGTCAAACTCTGCTTTAGAGTCAAACCAATCATAAAGCTTAGTTCCAGCTCAGCTTCTCCATAAGGGGATTAGGCAAATTACTTAACTTCTTTCAGGCTCATATCAAAAAGTTGGGCTAAGGGTCAACTAATAAAATATAGCAGAATTTAAATAAGCACATGCATTTATTTATTTATGTTTCCTCTTGAAATCCCACTAAAATAAGTGGCCTTGTAGTTCTATTTGAATGTTTAAAATCATATATATTAAAAACTTTTAATAAGGTAATAATAATAATAGTCAAATCTCACAGGATTGTTCTGAGAATTCAAGAATTACACATAATTTATGTGTAAAGCACCCAGGGCAGTGGTTGACACATACTCAGCACATACTAGTTTTACTTACTGTATTTTAAAGTTAATTATTATGTTCATCATTAATATTAGTGAAATTAGTTTCTTCCCTTGTCATTCCCCCAGACTGTGGCTAGTTCAGCACTATGCAGAATTCTAGATAAGGAAGTCAAGTTTTTCCAGACCTACAATCTCTAGCCTTTCTGTAGAAGGTCAAAGTTCACCAGTTCCTCCCCTTTCTGCCCCCAAGTCCAATGACTTCAGGTCAGAGCTGGGTTCATCTCACTCTGTATATTCCAGGGTTCCCTAATATGCCCTGAAGCCCATGACTCTGGGCTTATAAGGCCCCCAGACTCTAGGAAACAACTGGATTTACACCCAAACATTCATCTGAGCCCTTTGTGCAACCTGTGGTTTTGATACCAAGTAAAATGTCCCAAGGCAAGTCTCAAGTTAAGAAACAATAGCATAAGAAGAACTTGATAATCACAAAAACACCCCTACTGCACTCAGCTATGAGCTTCATTGTTGGGCATTTGGTTCACTGCTTTTAGACAATTTGCTCACCTGGGCACTATTTTTGGCACACGCACCACACAGACTTCATAGTTAACTAATGTGTCTTGTAGTTTTACTAATGCTACGAGTTATAACATCTCCTCTTCTCTGGATTTCATAGCAATTATTGTTATTTCACATGTTTCAAGCTCTCAATGTGGCAAGCAGTAAAACAGAAAACTGTTATGATAACTAGAACATGTAGGAAGGTTTGTGGTGTTGCTTAATCAGCTGGCACCTATGGAGGAACTATTCTGTCCAAGGCACTGTACTATGCACTAAATCAGTTGTTGTATAAATTCCCTTAATAACTGCTTAATTTTTTTAAAGAGACACTGTATGTATTTGCATTCTAAAGTAATGAAATATAGTGAAATCCAAGCAACAGCAACAATTGTACTTTCCTTCTCAAGAGACTTTGGGCTCAAGGGTAATAGTCAACTCTGTATCTCTGCAATATGTCCCAACCATCATTTTTCTTCCCCAGCTCCATCTATATCCTGGCACTACCTAATTTAGTTCTGAATCATAACCAGAAACTAATAGCCATAGTGATTACAATAATTACATGTTAGATTTATAAAACGGCTTTCCTTCCAAGAACGTGAGGCTGTCAGAGCCCTGCAGATGTTCCATAAATACATGTCTCCTAGTAAGAATCACAATGAGGTCATTTCTAGATGGTCTCAATATTGCTTTCAGGCTTTGTGGACCCACCTGACCTGTATACAATTGAAAAAGGACTCTTCACATCATGACTTCGAGGAATGAGCTCTCACCATGTTGTCTCTAGGAAAGGCACTCTAGAGTCAATGTGATTTGATAAGGAAGTAGCCTCCCTTTAAAAAAAAATTATTGGAGTATATAATGCATGTCAATCAAGCAACAGGTAAATGCTAATAGTGTGCAGTAATACATTCTAGAGGTAGGGAAACATAACATGAACTCCATCTCCCCCCCCACCCCATGTCTCTAAACTTTAAGTTGCTAAAGGCCAGGACTATGCCTTCCTTTGTAACTTTCAGACTCAATACCATAACATGTTAGAGAGTTTTGTTTTTATTGTTATCATCTAGATAATTTTAAGGTGAGACTGTCTGAACTAGGAATGAACTATTTTGGAAGATGCCATTTCTGTGATTTTCTGTAAAGTTTTATGCCATAGTTTTTACATAAAGTTTTATACTATAATTTTATACTATGCTGTAACTTTCTGGAGCTACAAAGGACCTGTGAAGTACAGAAATGTCTACACTGCATATAATATAAAGCATATGGTGGGGCAGCCTGATGCCTCTTTCAATGTCACTACCTGGACTGGATTAGTATTGAGTTACTTCATTCTTAAATTGATACAAAAGCATGGTTACCGGCTCCCTTATTTCCTCCTATAAGTAACTCTCTCTCCCATTGGAAAAGACTGACTTGGGACAACATTTTGCTACAAAACAATTAGCCTGTGATTGCCAAACAAGCTTCAATGCAGTGACCAACTAAAACAACCAAACAAATAAATAAAACTTCAAATGGGTTTCATACATGAAACAATCATACCTGGTGGACTCCTGCTTGTAGATGTCAATGATATTTTCCACCAGCAGGTTCCTCTGAAGTCCATATATCCCATGTCTGTCCAAAACCACTTCGTGCCTACAGGATGGGCAGCGGAATCGGCCCCCTGATGCCACAGTAGTGCCTCCTCTTGTGGGCAGGTACGGGTTAGAGGCCTGTTCTTGCCAAGCAAGGAAAGAGGAATTGAGTAATGCCATGGGTAGCTTTTCTGAGACTTCTCTTCACTGTCTGTGACTACACACAACATCAACTTCTACTTTAAGCTTGCCATAAGATAATCCCTTAGGGCCCCATCCACAAGTGGCCCTGAAACAGAGCCAGCGCTCATCTATAGTCAACTGCAATGTAGCATTTTCAGCATGAGATGATTTTTCCATCTAATGTTTTCAGTTCCAGCCAGAACTCCAACATTAATATCTTGGATAGTAATTCATTTACAATTTTGAAACAGATTCCATTTTTGAAAAAAAATATGTTTCTTAGTGTTGAAATAAAATTAGATTTGGGAATAAGACGAGGCTGACAGTAAAACACAAAGCAAATTATTAAAACATTTTTGTTTTTCTTGAAAATGAATGCAGCCTTTTGAAGTTTTCTAAAGGAGTTCACCTCAAAGTCAAGCACTTGATTCAGAGGAATGTTTTCCACCCCTACATTCCAAACAAACCTACCTGGAAGATATCACTGGCGCATTTCCTACATAGGTTGTGCTGGCAGGGGAGGATGACCACAGGCTTTGTGAACATCTCTAAGCAGATGGGACAGATGAGTTGCTTCTCTAAGTTGTCCATGGTCTGCTGCTCTTTGGAAAAAGACTTATAATTCAAAGATGCGCTCATCTCCTGGCCGTCCCCGTGTGCACTGCCAGGGAAAGGTTGCTCCGAATGGTCTCTACAAGTGTTTCCTGGAAATAATTCCAAGGCTTGTGTGATCAAGTGTCCTTCATGTTTCTTTTGGTGGAGGACATTGTTTCAGGCCCAGGTTCAGAGTGGGAGCCGGAGCTGTTTTTAGCAGCTGAGGTCACGTGACAGAAGGCTGACTTGTCCATATAAGCCAGTGACAGGAGGACAGATTCTGACAGGTGACAGAGAACAGGATCCAACATTCCTGCCCCAGGGAGTGAAAAGAGTGAGTGGGAAGAAGGATTACAAACCCCATTTAGACGGGGTTGTGAGAAGGAGGTGAAAGCAGGCAGTTGTCAACAACAAATGTGAATGTGCATACTGTGGCGTCACTGAGCGCCACCTCTGTGAGTCTTCAGTGAGGACATGGTGACGGGTTTTTCCAGGGCTAGGAAGAATGAATCCTAAGCAAACGTCTAGCTGTATAACAAATGTCATTTCTGTCTTGAGAGTTTAGAAAGTGAGTTACCCAAAGCAACATGATCATATCGTCTTGGTGAAAGTAAACAAGACATGTCTTGAAAATCACTATCCTGGCTTCACAAGGACAATCATCTAAAAAGACTTGCTCAATGTTAAATATTTCACCTTTGGAAGGGTGGTGGTATAGAAAACATCCTAACTTAAAAACTATTTTCAAACCTTTTCACTATAAAAGTGTCTACCAAGTAAAAAAAAATTCAAATACCGGTGGATGATTCAATTATTTTTAAAAGCTATATGATAAAACTCTAGTATGCTTTTTTCGTTTTTACACTGTTTTTCCTCTCCTTTAACCTTCTTTCATCTTGTACTCCCACTCCCACCCCTACGTACACCCCCAAGTACAAAGGAAATTGGACAATCTTTACAAGGTGCAACAACTGTCAGTAATGAGGAAGTAACTGGCACATGGGTTAGCAGACCCATTATTTCTTTTTGACATATAACAGGTGATGGATATCAGTCCCACTGCCAACTGAAGCGAAAACAAAGGCCTGCTTCCATACCTGTTTCTTACCTGGTCTGAAATACCTGCACCGTTTGCATATGCCTCATCCTCCAAGTTGATATTTCAAATGGTAGTTTCTCTGGTAATTTCTGATCTTGGTCTGCCCTTGGATCATAAACATCAATTTCGATATTTGCTAGGATTTTTTGAAACAACTGTCTCATTAACACAAGGGAGGACCCCCCAAACCCAGAATTTATTTATAAAAAAATTGTATGATTATTCTTACATGTTTAAACTTCAGTCACCTTCAAAAAATATTTTCCATTTGATGCAATATTCCTATCGACGATTTTGATGCCTTTAGTGCTTTGGCCATTTTTTGTTTCACTTCTTCCACATCGGCAAAACGTTTCTCTTTGAGGATTTTTTTTCATCCAGGGAAACAAAAAACAGTCGCTCAGGGTGAAATCAGGTAAATAGGAAGGGTGGAGCATAGAGGTCATGCTGTTTTTGGTAAAAAACTGATGAACATTCAGTGCAGTGTGGGCAGGTACGCTTGTAAATCACCCATCATGAAATGGGCAAATGTGTTGAGTCTTCAAAAAGAATTGACTGAGGCTGAACACAGCCTCTCACAACAACACTGGCTTCCCAGAACACTCATCTAGCAGGGGAAGCTTGTACTATAAGGGGTCTGCCCTCCAGAAGATAATTCTGGTTTTGGTGGGGAAGGGGATCCCCCTTGTATATATTTTATTAAAAAATTTAAATCAGGTTATAAATGAGAAAGAAATACATATCTATTTTTTATGTGATGAATTTTCAGCTTTGTTTCTTCTTGATTTGAAAACTCTCAAACAATGAAGATATTTTGTTTACACATCCCTGGTGTGCATTTAATTGCCAGTAGAAACTAGGTTGGTGTGACCAGTTTTGTGTGGTTTTAGTGTTGTGCATACTGAAAGCTTATTGAAAATCTAAAAAGCTCTATTAACTAATAATAAGTTATACATATTCATAAACATTTCAGGGATCTTTGGAGAATTTTATTATCCTTTTCAATAGGTATTGAGCAACTACAATGAAGAAGGGAACTGGTGAAATCTTTTTACTGCATTACTTCAGTTGAGTCAGCCTGGGTAATTAATTGTGTTTATCACTGCATGGGCTATGAAGGCCTAAGCATAATGTGAAAGAAAGTTTCTACTCTAAAAGACCTTGCAACCTAAAGAAAAACACTTAAACTGATGATATACACTGTAGCAGAGTCTATCCTTATCAAAGGAATTCATTCTTTCAAAAAACATTGTTTATCATGTGTTTCCATGTGTTCCATGTGTTGTGCTGGGCCCTGGGGATTGAAAGACAAACTAGACACAGGTCATTGTCCTCAAGGAGCTCAGTCTAACATTAGAGATGAGATATGCATATACAGAACCACAGTACAAGACAACATGTTACATGGAGTTATAGAATTTCAGAGGTAGAGGAATTAGGAGGGCTTCATGGGAGGGGTAGCATTTGAATTGATCTACTGAGGAACTTAGTTGTGTCATAGGTGGGGCTTCCCAGGAGAAGGCACAGAAGTAAAGACAGTGAATACCAGAGAGCTCGGAGTGCTCAGGGTGTAGGGTGCTTTGGACTGGAGTACAGAGCACAGTGCTGGCTCATTGACAGGCCATATCACACCAGGCTGCAGAGTTTTAAACACTTAATAAATTAGGCAGCAGGTAGTCATTAAAAGTTTCTCAGAGGGACGTTTCCATGAGAGTTGTACATTGGCTAGATTAATCTCACAGTGGTGGTTGGGACAGATAAGAGTGACAGTGACCTGGCTAAAGACCAGATAGGAGGTTGTTGCCAATAGTCTATGTAAGAGGTCACAAAGCCCTGGCACCAGGCAATGACAGTGAGGAAGGAAAGGAGGAAATGGATTCCGGGTCAACTATGAAAGTAGAACTCACAGAGATGACTCAGATGCTGAGTCTGAGCAATGAGCCATGTTGCGGTGAGAGGCTCCACCGTGAGTCAGGAGACAGGCCTATTCAGCACTGATGCCCACTTTGCTTTGTAGTCTCAGGGAACTGACCTCACCTAGCTGGATTTCAGTTCTTTTATCTATAAATGAGTGTAGTTCATAACCTAATTTTGCAGAATTTGTACGGAAAAGAAAAACCCTGTGAAACAGTATTAATTTTGATATTGAGAATCCCCAATTTGATTATTTAATATAGAGTTGATACTACTTCTTTTTCCCTCTGCTCCTTCTTGCTCTCTCCGCCTTTTATTTTTTCCTAGAATTGCCCCTGAAGACTGCACAGGAAACCAGCAAGAATCCCATAGGAATATGAGTGAAACTGATGGATAATAATTTACTTTTCCTCTTCATCTGCTTTTCTCCATTCCTCCATCTCCTCCCCCCACACCCCCGCCCCACTCTCAGAGACCAGCAATCTGTAGGGTGGGCATGTGAGTTGAGAATGAGACTTGGGAGAAGCACTCTGTTCTAGAGAAGAAGCAGAAAATTTTAGTCCACTCCCAAATCATTCACACAGTCTGGGAGACAGGTAGAATTCTGGAACTGAACTAGAATTGAAATCAGCTTCTAGTCGCTGAGATTTGGAGTGGACTTGGGCCTCCACAGAGACATGAAAACCAGGCTAGTCTCCTGAAGGTATCCTGGACTCTGTAGGAGTGGTACACAAGTTCCTCCACTTTTCCTAACCCACACTAGGACAAGGGGTTGAAGCAACTCTGGCCAATTAGTTGGAAGTCCTGATTGCCCCTCATGCCTGAGTTCCAGCAGCCTGGGGCAGGAGTATGTTTAAACATTTAAAAGCTGAAGCAAAACCACCACTGCTCTCACCTCCTCCAGCAGTTTCCCAATACTCCAGATGGATCAGAGGAAGAAAGATGGGTCCCTAAGAAACTGGGTAAGTCATCAAATAAATAGAGGACTTATGGTCAGATAGGGATAAAGGGAAGTAAAACACAGATACAGTTTGAAGCAAAGAACAGCTCTGGTGGAAGAGAAAATAAAAATTTCCTTATAGCAAGGAGTTGACCCATGACATCTAGATAATACTTGACATTTTCCTTCAATCTACATTGTCAATCTTTTCTATTTAGCATTCTACATGTCAATAGGCCATGTGGATATGTGATTTTTAAATTTTTAATGAAAAAAAATTACAAAATCTAAAATTAAAGAGAAATGAGCTACCTTGAAAAGTAGTTAACAGAAGCCAATATTTTGACATTTCTTTCATTAGGTAGTTTTCAGACTTCTGACTGAAAGCTTTTTTTTTAATCTTGATAATTATTCCTTTTCCAAATCTGTTGTTTATAAATTTTTTCTTCATTGTAACCATCTCTGAGGAGATTTTTGAAAACTAACATATTGTGCTTTCCTCTGCACATTCCTTGGCCAGAAATAAATAGTGACAGTATCAATAAATAGCAAATATTTTAGCTGAGGCCTTCCCAGTGACCATGTCTGAATGTCTTACCTTGGCTCCAGGTCCTCCATGACTCCATCCTTAGCATACACAATCCTCCCCTACCTCCCTTTCACCCCAGGCTTCTAACTGATTTCTTTGAGTTCAGTCTTGCCTTCTGCAATCTATTTCTCATGTATCATTCCCTATTTAAATCCCATTAATGGTCATATTATCCCTAGGATAAAGATATTAGCCTTCACTGTGGATCTCTAAGACCTGATTTGGCCCTTAGCTATCTCTCTGACCTAGCTGTCTAATAAAAATAAGATGTGAGTGACATATATGAGATATATATATATAATTTTAGATTCTAGTAGCTACACTGAAAATTAGGAACAAATGGAATTAATTTAATATATTCTATTTAACCCCCAAACATATAAACTATTATCATTTCAACATGTAATCAATATTTCAAAAATGAGCTATCAGTAAATAGAGATAGTTTTACTTCTTCCTTTATAATCTAGAAGTCTTCTACTTCATTTTTCTTGCCTATTACACTTACTAGAAACACCAGAATGGATACCCTTGCCTTGTTCCTGTTCTTAGGAGGAAGGCATTCATACTATTAAGTATGTGAGCTGTGTGTTTTTTCATTGAAGCCCTTTACTGGTTTGAAGTTTCCTTCCTTTCCAAGTTTGCTGACAG